AAAAGATGTGGGCTGGAACAATGGAAAGCTCATCAAGGAAATGAGATTGGAAATGCACGTTTGAAGCCCAGCAAGGAAAAATATAATGGTTAATTATTTTTTTTTTTGGCCATTCGCTTCTAATAGGGCGAAAGAAGAGAGAATATTATAATGGGTTGCCTCAATATTATCTCGTACAACCTGGGCTCACTTGGAGAGGCAAAGAATTTGACACTTCATCACCCCCCGTGCATGCTTAATTAGTTGTTAACTTTCTCTATTGTTGGCTTCGTTGTTGTGAACTTTACTTTTGTGTCCTTACCTAATTGATTTTGATCACTAGCGCCAGCACAACACACAAATTAATGAATCAAGTTTTTCTTGATGAGTTCATTGACCCGTTTAAATCATATGGTTTTAAGTTTGGGTTATTATCTTGCACGTCATTCTTGTTTTACGAGTTTATATTAGAGTTGAAAATGTTGATCGCTTTGATACAAACTCGTAAATCACGTATAGGGTGCAAAAGAATAACTTAAACTGCGTCTTCGTGCCATATGTCGCCATATGTAAAAGCTAAGAGAGTTATGACCATTAATGGCAAGAATAAGAAGCAAAAAGAAAGTGAGAGTGTAGAAGGAGAACAAGTAATCGGAGAAGAAGCAGAAAAATTGGAAGTAGTAAAGCCTCTGACCAAGTTCAACATGCAGAACAATATAGCCGAGGTTCCTCGACATTTGACTTACAATATAGTTGAAAATAATTCATAAATCATATCAACCCAAATTTTAGAGGCAACGACATATTATACTACCGGCCAAAATCAACCACTTTGGGGTCTCAACTTTTCGGGATTATTGGTCTTAGGACAAGCTCAATGATGGGTGCGGTTGCAAACCTCCGGTGGGCTGCGGCATTTATAGCCCACAATTCATCACCATTGGGGTTGCTTTTTTTAGTTGAGTTTGGGCTGTAACAACTGCAGCCTTACGGCAGATAGAACCCAAGCAAAACTTACTGCAATATTATCAAATCATCGATCTTAAGACACTACTAAAATAAACTCCACATATCTATTAGGAAAAAAAAAGGAACACAGTTGATCACATGGATCATCATCAAAAAGAAAAAAGAGAAAAAAAGAGGTGCATTACATTACATTGATGACATCACATGAAAAATTAATTCAACTGTAAGAAGCTAGCTAGCAGAGTCCATTAAACTGGGGTACAACCCAGACTGCAGGCGGTATATACCCCTGCAAATCAGAATAAGGATCTAAGGAGAAATGTTGTGTGATGGTTCCGCTCTCTAAATTAAAGATACCCATATCGCGACATGGCATATCGTCATATAGCTTATCGGCATGGAAATTGTCTCCCAAATAGTATTGGTTTTTATAATACGAAGATGAGAAATCATGGGTGTAATATATGGAATTTGATTGACATCCATGAAAGTCTGAAGTCAAAACAGAGACTGAATGATTGTCACCTATGAAGAAGACATCATCTCCAATGCTTTTTACCTCAACTTGTTGTAAAATAGATCCGTCTTTGTCGTCGAACACCGCCTTATAAACCCTAAAGCTTTCAGTCATAACATTCTTGTAGGCCCCTTGCGTTTGTTTACAAACTCTTTCGATATGCATCAAGTCTCCCTTGGTTGATTCTACAAGATATCTTGTAGATCTACAAGTTCGGAAGTCAACATCTAATGACATAATATCTCCCTGATATTCGAACAGAGGTGTAAGTGGCTTTATTCGTATTCGTGAACAAGCTTGGTCATCAACATCTAATGACATAATATCTCCCTGATATCCAACTAGGTAGATTTGGTTTTTGTAAGATATAGCATCCATGACCGGACGTGGGGTTCTAATCCAACTCCAATCCTTTTGGCTCTGACCTCTTTTCATATGGATGAAAGCCAAAATATTATTAGATCTACGGAACACTGCTACAACAATATAGTTATCTGGATTCAAAACAGGGTCAGCAGAGAGTATAACCTTTCTGATACAAAATTCGAAGAAACATATGTCTTGTTTTGTGGGTCGGACATCCAAGAGAGGGAGAAGAATAGGCGATGCCGGATTTCGTTTTGTGGGTCGGACATCCAAGAGAGGGAGAAGAATAGGCGATGCCGGATTTCTGAAAGGGTCCCGGAGTGCTATAATCGGACCTTGGTCTGTGACGAATTCTATTGTGGCAAACCAACCGTGGCTAGAGCCACAAGACCTCTTTTTAAAAGGCACTTCCAATCCAATATTGTTGTAGATTTTGCCTTCAGCAATGCTGTATAATGCTTTTCGGTGGTTCGTTTTCGTTAGGAGGCGGCTATTCTTGCCGCCGCCGCCTCCTTGGCATTCATATTCATTAGGGATCAAGAGCATGGGAAGTAGGTTGTTATGCCGCCACCGCTGTGTTGCTTGATTATAGTCTTTTGAAAGAGAACGCCATTGCTTGCAGACGGCAGCAAAAGAAACATGGTCAATGGGCTCAAACAAATTATCTAGAATAAAAAACACAGGCAGCAGAGGAAGACTTGCCCATTCTGGTGATGATATGTACCTACTGCAACTGTATTTGAAGGCAACACCAGCGGCCATGTTCCCACAACGACGCTTCTTATTATTAGGGTACATGACACCAAAACGAACAAGCACTCCAAATTAAGAAGAAGAAGAAGAAACAAAATATTGTACGTGCCAAGAAACCAACCCTAAGATATTCCTGGCTATTTATAAAATACATGAAGCGGATAGAGAAGAGATAACACATTAGCACAAGTCCTCTTGTATGTATAGAACTCAAAATCGTAATAATCTCATAATAAGTAATTAGGGAATAATAATATAATATTGCAATATTTTCGTTTTCTTTTCCTGCTTGTTATTATAATATACTGTTTGTTTATTCCCTCGTTCAATGGCAAGAGAATCAAGTACGATAAATATTGGCTTTATTTGAAAGGCAAATATTAAGTGATAAAATATTATATTCTCGTTAAATTGTGGCGATTTGATATGATTTTTCAAGGATTTCGTGGAACTATAAATAACAATTCTTTTGCAACCAAAATTCTTTTATGCCAAGTAATCTTGGCCTCCAAGGAATTAGGTCACTCAACTAACCACTACTGTATCTGTACTCACGTGCTCGGATCAGGGCATACCATTTTTGATGCGTGTGTTTATTCAAAAATGCTAATTATTCCACATCTATATACCACCTATCTAATAGAGGCGGGGCCTCATCGTATTAATCGGCTCCACCTTTATTAGAGAGATAGTACACAATGTGGTATGCTCAGAGCTAGCCTTGGGGGTGGGCGAGAGGGGGCCTTGGCCATGCGCCTCCAATTAAGGGGCCCTAAATATAAATATATATACCATTGTCCAATTTATTATAAATAAATATTAAAAAAACAACACGCGATTAAATTAAGTTTCTTAGTTTCTTTTTCCCAGAAAGTTTCTTCGTTTCCCACGCAAAATCAGAAACAACAAGTAGGTGATTCCTTCCCTACTAACCTAAAAAAATACAAAATACAAAATACAAAATAAAAGTTATCAATTAAAAGGAACACTGGAACCACTAGAGCCTACATCCTACAGCCATGGTGGTTATGGTGCTTACAGTCTTCTAACTTTCAGTTTGAAAGAGAACCAAGAAAAACCCCTGGGCGAAGACGCTAACTTCTTCATCTACCATGATGCCCAGACCATTGGAGTGGCGGACGATGTCGGCGGCTGGGCCAGGAAAGGCGTCGACGCCGGCGAGTAATCTGCTCTCCAAGCTTTCAAACTTGACGATTCCAACTTTTACTCAACCAATATGTGAGTTGCAGAAGCCGATTACAATTTTTGGTTCTTATGTTTTTGGCGACAGGCTCTTCAATGTCTATTTCATAGGGAAGGCACTTTGCAGAAGGGGAATAATAAAACCAACTTGAAAAGACCTATCTACCCCTAAATTTAACGAAAAAAATTGACAGAAGCAACGGTGGAACTAGTTGTCCAAACGAAACTAAAGTTAAAGGACCACGGGTACCATTTTGGAAATTGAGGTACTCAAATGCAAATCCTGTCAAAATTGAGGGACTAATAAAACGATTAACCCAACATTTATCTATCCAAGTTCCCTAAAGAGTAAAAAATTTCTCCATCCAGAAATCAACACAAATCCCACAATGTTCTCCATGAATACTTTTTGATAGAAAAACCTCTACCTATAATGATTCATTGATCAATATAAGAGCATCTCCAAAGGAGATGTCAAATCCTATGTGACACTTTTAACGAATAAAAATAATAGCTGAAATTTACTCCAACCGAATAGCTATAGTCTACGTGGAATGGCGTGTGAACCCTCTGCTGTCAAAATTGCCGTCAAGTGCTGGAGACGTCTTTTGATTAATTTATTATTTCTTTACCTATCTGGTTGTGGCTTTATCATTTCATTTAATACTTATCTATATTTTTTTTTTCTTCTTGTTACTATTTCATGCATCTGTTGTCATTATATGCTTTCATTATTATTTTTCTTTTTAATTCTTTTCCTTTGTTATCGTCACTTGACACTACTATATTGTTGAAATTTTTACCGTTGAAAATTTATGTTGATCTTTTTTATGTTCTTTTCATCAACCAACGTGGAGATGGATGATTTTTTTTTTTTTTAAATTCTATTTATGTTACATTTTATAATTAATTTATAAGTATTTTAACTTGATTAATGAATTACTCTTAATACTAAAATTTTAAAATACATTCATTTAAGAAAGTAATAAATAAATCAACACTAATGTAATAAAATAATATTTTAATTTGACATATCGAGTAGGGTGTAAAACTATGCAGGATGTCAAATTACCACATTAGCCATCAAATTTAAATTTGATATTTGGTATTTGACATCTCCCTTGGAGATGCTCTAATTGAAAGTAGACATGGCAGTATTTGGTAGGTGATGGCTCAAAAACTATTTTGAACTCTCTGACAAGATGGAAAGCACCACATAATCTCCAGAGGTTAACTTTAAAAAAGAAGAGGCTCATAATATTCGAATTAAAAAATAAGAATCGTTGAGATTGGTGATATTCCATGCATTTTAATGGTTTGAGAGAACGTAATAAACTAACACAGTAATCTTCACTTTTCGTTTTATAATTCGGTGGAAAAAAACCTCAATTTAAATTTTAGTAGACTCAAATTCAAACTTTCATAACACATTACTATTCTAATATTTGAGAATGTAATAAAATAACATTTGAGAAAACCGCCTTCCCCTTCCTCACTTTAACCACCACAAAAAAGGAAAATCTTCTGTTTTTGTTATGGGTGGCTATGACTATTCTAAACCATGCATAAAGGTACACTTATTACATGAGACAAATTTATAACCAAC